CTGTATGATGTTGAACTTTTGCCATTTTTTTTTCCCCCACATAAGACATATTCTGTTCCTATTTAAAACACCACAGACTCTTCTATTTTATGGCTTGACAAAGGCCTTTGACAATCCAGATGGGCACTGTGCACTTCTGGTATGAATTCCAGGCACTCAGAATATTGAGACCTTAAGCACACTTGAATGAGAATAATTTCAGTTTTTGGTACCTTCAGCAATTAAAGGAAAAATCTCATCCACTAAGGAAGACTATAGAAAGAAGAATGCAGTGGAATCTACTTTGGTATCAGTACAGTTTTTTTGTTAGTAGCAACATAAGCCTCAGTTATTACAGTAAGACAGCAGGTGAGTACTTTCATAGCAGCTAAAACCTACTGTCTTCCTGGGCCTTTAAAAGCTGCAGCTCTCAATTTGAATTCAAGGTAGCTGGATTTGTGTACAGAGAACTTGGTATACTTCAGCAGGTACAATAATTCACTCACTGTTTGGAAAGCTTTTATATTCTGTAGGAACTTTTAAAAGATTTCCTGCTTATCTGAAAACATCCTCAATGGCACAGTCCAACACATACCAAGAACCCAGCGTGGTAACATCAAGGAAGAATCACTTCTTGTACAAACTAGGGATTAGCATAGCTGGGAGAATTTGACTTGTGGTCATTGGAACTGGGCTTGCTGTAAAGCTTCTCTAGCATGCAGTTGATCTTGTGAAGCATGTGGGCAGATGCCTTGCTTCATTTTCACTGTTTACTGCAGTTGCATTCTCTCTGCCTTTCACTTTAGCCAAAAAACTATACACGGGTGTGCTAAGGACTGCTCCAAAAGTAATGCCTATAATTTTATTATATTGGCCCAGGAAGTCAGAGGCAGATGTTGATAGCATGGCAGTAGAACTTCACCCTTGCCACCAATAGTCCATTACATTTTGATGGCAGGAGAGAGGCACTCTGACGAAATGATGTCTGTCATGGATGTGTGTATGAAGTGAAGATATCATTGAATTCCTCCATGTGGAAAAAATAGCACCCATTGACATTAATTGATGCTTGCTGAATGTTTATGGAGACTGAGTGGTGGATGTGAACGCTATGAGGTGGTGGGTGATGCATTTCAGCAGCAGTGATATTGATGTGGAAGACAAGCCATGTTCTAGATAGCCGTGCATATTTTTTTCTAGTGCAACACGCAGGCTCTTTTTCATCGCTGGCAAAATGCAATGGTGGTGAGGATTTGCTCTACCAAGTTGTCTTATTGTGCTCTTTGTAGCTGTTGTAGTTTCCACGGAAATAAACAGAAGTCTTTGCTTTTGGAGCAGTATTGTTTAATACCTAGTATTTAGGTGAACATTGCACATGCTTGAACACAGGGTTCAAACCTCTCCTAGTACAGAAGAGATAGGGGTGCAGTTGCAAATGAAGTCTGCTGTATGTGCCTGCATACAATGCATGAAGATGAAAATGCTATTTTTAATTCCAGCTTCCTTAGGTCCTGCTATAGAAGAAAAAAAAACATCTCAACTAATGAGCCATGTGTTTCTGAGAACTCTTTGTTATTGTAGAAATACTGGATTTGTTAACGTCTGAAATTAGTGTTTTTCTAACCACAGAAGTGTGATGTTTTGGTACATACACGACTTCAAGTTTATGAAAAAAAAATAGCAGGGGATCTCCTTAGCAACACAGCGTATTAATGCTGAATGTGAAAAATGGTACGAAGCTGGTTCACATTACCCAGTATTAGGCTGTACAATCATGCTTTCCTTTTATTTTGGTCGCAGTGATGTTACAGTGTGAGTGCTTCAGGCCACGTGTGTGATGCAGAGCCTCTTTGGTAAATTTGCTTTAGCTGACAGTGTTCTTAACAAGTGACAGTTCTAAATATAGCCCAGTGAGTGAAAAGACATTGCCCTTAGGCTGGGTTGATCTCACTGCCACAGATTTTTTCCCTTTCACTATTGCAAGCTCAAATACCAAAAATAAAGAGTAAACAAGAGAAAACTATTTTCCTTAGAGGCTTCTCTCTTTGTTACAAAGAATGATGAAGGCTTATGTGAAAGTGACATAGTTTTGTTTCAGGTTATTTTTGCTCAAGTTAGTGGGCAACTTTGAAAGCATGGTTAGAAATGTGCGGATGATCGAATGCAGATTTACTGTATCCAAGTATTTCCTATATACATGATGGAGGGATGAGGAAAATGTGCAATAGGTGGTGCGTATCTTACCTATGAAAAATATGGTGTTAGAGTTTAGGGTAAGAATTCACAGGTGAGGTTTTTTAACTATGCATTAATTTCTTCTGGACAAAATGAACAGTGGCCACAACATTTTGGGTGCTGGAGAACATTCAGGACGAAGTGTATTGATTTGAAAAAAATCTGTCATAGATGCAAGCAAACAAATGTGGCTAGTAAATAAAACTACTGTTATTTATGTAGCAAGCTATAGTTCTGAAAATTACTATTTGACATAAACTATTTGGAGGCTGGACCACTCAGTGGATAAAGAGCTGGCTGGTTGGTCATAGCCAGAGGGTTGCTGTTAATGGCTCTGGATCCAGGTGGAGACTGATCACATGTGGTGTCCCCCGGGGGTCTGTCTAGAGATTGGTGCTCTTGAACATCTTCATCAACAGAGGCAGTGGGACTGTGTGTACCCTCAGCAACTTTGCAAATGACACTAAGCTGAATGGTGCAGTTGGCGCAATAGAAAGAAGGGATGCCATCCAGAAGGACATGGACAGTCTTGAAGAATGAACGTGCAAGTATCTAATGACTTTTAACGTCTCCAAGTGCGTGCTGTTGCACTTGGGTCAAGGCAATCCCAGCTATGGGTACAGACAGGGAGAAGGACTCCTTGAGATCCAGCCCTGCTGGATGTGAGTCAGCTCTTGCAGCTCAGAAGGCCGACAGTACCCTGGGCTGCATCAACAGAGAGGTGGTGGCAGAGAGAGGGAGAGGATTGTTCCCCTCTATTCTGCTTCTGTAGGGTTCTGGGCAGATGGGCTGTAGTCAGGTCTCTGTTCTAAAGCGGCTGTATCATAATTGTTTCTGGGAAGCAGAAGCGTCCTGTAAGCTTTCAGGCTAAGTTTAGATTGTCTCCATACTTCACCTTGACTGGTATTTTTGGTTAAGTTTTTATATTCAGAGGTAAGTGGATCACTGCATATGAAATAGAAACAATACCATGGGAGCTCAGCATGACGTCCTGCTCTCCTGCAGCAGCCCACTGCTCTTCTGCAGAGGCCCGTAAGTGAGACTGGAGATGTGCATGTTAGAGATGAGCTGTGCCCTGCCCCTCGCTTGTTGTGGAGGGCGCACCTTCCAAACGGGCTCCAAGTCTTCATTCTTAGGCTTGTGTTTTCCGACCTTTGGGAAATGTAACCAGACTTGTGCTTAATCTCTAGAGGTAAGCGCGTGCTCTGGTTTATCATTTGAATGTGTGGATTTACAGTTCCCTCTTTATATCTGCCTTTAACAACAGTTCTGCAAAGAGGCTGCAGAAGAAACCAGATTTGGAATGAAGCCCAACAAAGCCCTGCGTGTCCGTGAGGACAGACGTAGGACAGGGATGTGGCCTCCACCAGTCTGCCTTCTAATGATGTGCATTTGAGTTCCTGGAACTCGGTGGAGATGCCTGAAATAGTAATAATGATCAGCTGTTTCAGGAGCAGGAATTGCGAAGCTGTCCAAGTACATTTTTGATGAAGAACACTTATTATCCTAAGAGAGGATGTGAGGAGAGCCCCTTCTGGATAAAAGCGGCTATTTCCAGCCAGCGTGCATCTGCTGCAGCTCCTACTGCAGACGTGAAGCGAGCACGACCTGGGCGGCAACAGCCCGTCCGTGCCTCACCCAGCGAGCAGCGAGCTTTGGAGGAGCGGCTTGCATCCCAGCTGCCACCGGCAGCAGACGGCTGCGCTCCGTCGGTGCCTGCCTGTCAGCCGCACCTCGGTGCACGGGAGCGGGCGGCAGCAGCGCCTGGTCGAGCTCGAGCGCTGCAGCCGCCTGGCTTCGGCGCGTGCAAACGTGCGTGCCTCCTGCAGCTCGCGGCCCCCAGGTGCGGAGGCAGGCGGGAAGCTTGCCGAGAGCCGGCTGAGGTACGTGAGGTGAGGAACCCGCAAAAACTTCTCTAGTGACTTCTCCGAGGGGCTCGGGAAGCGCCTCGACCTCCTTGAGGAGGGGCACGTGAAGGAAGGCGCTGAGCGTGTGCCGCCGGCTCTGCTGTAGAGGTGATGAGTGCAGCCGAGTTCGATCCGCTGGGATGAACAGGCTCCAGTCAAAGCCAAATCCTCCGGAAAAGTGCGGGCAGCAGAACGTGCCTGTGTGTATAGAAGCCGCAATACTTTCTTCCCCGCGTTTTCTTTAAAAAGCTGGGCTTTATAGATATCGCTGCTGACAGGCTGCGTTGTGATGTGTCAGATTGTGTTGTGTCAGTCGCCTCTGGTTATGTAACGTGCCATGACGTGACTAATGCAGCCCAACGTGAGTCACCTGTCGTGACAGCTCTGCGCCCTCCAAAGAAACCGTTTGCTCTCTCAAGAACGATCCCCCCTTCCCTCCCCCACCCTTTTTTTTTTTTTTTTCTTTTTTCTCCTTAAGTACGCGATTTTATCCAACTTACCGGTGGCTGTTTTAAAGTGTTACACTGAGGTGTTAAGTGGGCACGTGCATTTGGTAAAGTACGTGAGAGTGTGATTAGTTAATTGTCTAAAAGTGCGGGGCGCTCCCGCTGCTTGTGGAGGTTGCGGAGCTGCTGCTAGGATGCAACGCGCGATCCGAAGGGAAAGTTAGCAACGGAGTGAAACCCCACCAGCAGGGTGGGGAGCTGGAGGTGAATGGCTTTAATCGGGGCTCGCTTGGACCAGGGCTCTGTGTAATTAACGTTGCATTGAATTGTTAGCACCTGGCAGTGATCGCGGTGCTCACGGCGTATTTAAGAGGCATTAAACACGTGAATAAAGCAGAGATACAGATGCAAATTTTGCCCATTTTTCTTTCAGGAGAAACTTTCAGATATCATCAGCCATTGTTTTCTTATTGTAAGCCGCCATTTGCAGGCTTGTAACAAAGCGGGCGAAGACTTGCTGTTCTGCACAGGTAAGTAATTTCTGTTTACGAATTAAATCGTACGCGTTCCCTTGTTACCTCAGTGTTGTTCTTTAATTCGTTTATGCCTCTTGTTTTTATCTCCTGTGAAATCAGGAGGTGGTCGGGAGGTTTTTTGTAACCGTTATATCTTTCCTCCTCAAATGTATGCATTAAAATCAGGCCTGTTGCATCCCACTATCATTATTTCTATGCTTTTCCACAAAACACAGTGTTTCTGTATCGCAACAAATTAAATCCTTGTTTTCCTGATGAAATGGAAGGCTTGGCACAGTTCGGTAGAAGATACTCGTGTCACTGCAGGCTTCTCAGGTTGTACTACACAAAAACAAAAAGCATAGTTCAAATCCACTAGATTTATTCAGGTGCAGACAGGTAATTGCACAGACTCATGCTCTTCCTATAAATAGTCTGAGGAAACACAAGCAATGCCCAATGAAAGGCCTGCTGCAACCAGTGCAGTAGAGTTCAGCAGGTGCTGAAGGTCCTTGAGGGAACACATTGCATATATGTAATTCTCTGCTATAGGTAGAGAAATAGACATACCTACTTAAGTCTTCTTGTTGCATGTACTGTGCATAGGTTTGTCCATTTTTTTCCATTTGGTACAGTTACTAATAATACCATAATTTATAACAGTAGAAGTATGCAGGTTTCTAACTTCTCTCTGTAACTGTTAGCACCCAAATTCTCTACAGCACAAGTGAGGTTTCTCTCTGCAGAAATATATGAGTAGATATACTCACATATGAGTATATATATAGTGATCCCTCTTGGAACCTTACCTCCATCCCCTGTACAAGTGCACACCTGAAGAAAGGAGTCATGCTACAAGACTACTGCAGTGACAGGCTGTGAAGAATAGCCAGCCTAGGTGTGCTCCTAAGCCTGTACTAACAAAGCAGTAAAATCTTCACAGACTTCTGAGATATTTGTAGTGTTTCCTCTGGAATTTTGGGGATATTAGAGATGCTGTGGACGTAGTTAATTACGCAGCTTTTTCTTCCCCCCCCCATCCCTCCTCTTTCCCATAGAAAATTCACAAGGGATCTAACTCAAAAACTGGTAAGTACTGAGCTCTTCCCTCAGCTGTGTGCGTGGACTTTGGATTTGCAGTCAGCTGTGTGTTCAGAAAAAAGAGGCTTTTACTATCTATATTTCTGCATTGCAAATTTGAAAGAAAATTATCTAATGTATTTTATGTATAGAAGTGTTACTTGTTTTGGCTCATCTGATAAAGAGCTCAAATACTTAGCGCTGCTAAGTATGTATTTACTTCATGTGCTCCTCGTGCTGAGAAATCCACTCTAGTATATTTGAAATTTGTCCAACAGGTGGCTTGTTAATTAATCAATATGAGATACTCTGTTAATCAATATGAAACGGCTTTTGTGAAGAGAAATAGAATTATGAGTTTTTAGCTTGGAAGGAACATAGGAAGAGTATTTAAGAAGTACAGAAAGTTCACACGGAGAGTGTAATGAATGAAGGACACCTCTGTGTCCTTACTTTTTTGCCTTATGTAGTCCATTGCCAATAAATGCTCCAGTTCCTGGAAGGTTGAAAGAATAAATAGATGGAAAAAATAAAGAGAGCCATAGAGCTTAAGTTCTGTATTCACTTGATGATTTTCACAGGTAAATGACAGTAAGGGAACTAGGAATCACCCTGAATATTGGCTGCTACCAGGAACAGATTAGGCTAGATGCATCTTTTTTCTTTATGAAAATTATTTTAATTTTCTTACAGTAGAATAGGAGACAAAAGAATGTTTCTTAGAATCCTATTAGCATGTTTGAGTGATTTTTCCTTGAACGAGCAAGCCATTAAAATGTATTGCTTATGCTCTACACTAAGAATATTTTTGCCATTGTGTTCAAAGAACCTTTAACTGAAGACATATACCTGAAGCAAACATTCCACTTCTGGAGAAGGAAACTAGGAATAGGACATGTATCCTCAGTAGATGCTTTTAAAATTATAAATGGGTTTCCTTTCCATAGGTGGTGGCTGTGAAAGGAGAATATCTGTTTGGGAGCACTTAATGAGTTTTACAAGGTAGCCAGAGGTGAAGCTCTGATCTTGTGCGAATGGTGCTCTTCTACTTCACTCTTGGGTGTGATCAAGGAAGAAATGGAATGCTGGTGCTCTCTTGTACCACTTAGTAAAAAATTAAGATAATTGTTCTTGAGGAGCAGAACCATAGGTATTTCAAAGCTCTGGACAGAAATACTGGACAGAAAGGCTGGCTTAGGGCCATATCAACAGTTTGACTGGTAGCTCAGTGCACCACGGTTTGTCATACAGAGGCATCTTTGAGGGTGTAACTGAACTGAAGGGGCTTTAGGTTGCATAGCTTCAGCTAGTGAGCAGTCAAGGGAGCTGGAATATTTATGGCACATGTGCAATAGTGTGAAGAGAACAGCAAATACTGTGAATGGAACAAATCGTTACTGCAGTACAGATGGAGAAGATTGCCTTTTTCATAAATCTGCTTTCTGATGATACTGTGATAGCATAAGCTTAAGAATCCTTTGTTTCCTCTACTAATTGTAAGACTTGTGTGTTTTGACTGTAGGAAAATACAGTCAAAATCAACAAAATGGCCCTTTGGAAGAAAAGTAAGAGATGAGACTGTTGGCGCAAAACAAATGCAGTGCATGTGTTAACTTCATATACCTCTCAGCTTCTCAGGCTTTTTAAGATGATTCTTGTCCAGAGTCTGTCAGTAATAGTTAGCAGATCAACATCATAGGAAAAATAAGAGGAAAAGAAAATATTTCTAGCTGCACTCTTGCACCTGTGACACCTTAGGCCCCCAGACACCTACAGGCTAGATGTGTCTTTGATCTGAAGTGGCTGCACATTGATGTTTTGCAGACTCTTCATTTTTTTTTTTTTTTTTTTTGGCATTATCATTCATACTGTGTTAAGGGGAGAAAGGGCTAGGAGGAAAGGAGTAAAAAAGCTTTTAAAATTCTAAAATGCTTGCCAAAAATCAGTGGGAAGGAGGGAGAAAAGTTGCCATGACAACCTTTGGCTTTGTACCTCTGAAGGTTTGCTTTACACGTTTGACACACTTACAGTTATCACTTTCTGCAGTGATTATGATGTAGTTGCATTCTCCTTAGTTTAACTTCTGTCTGTGTAGCCATGGCATTGCAGTGCAAGAGCCCTTTGTTTCTGTAGCTGTGACAATTACAGGGTTTTGATAGCTATGGGCTGAATTCTCCGGATCTAATGCAAGGAAAAATGCGAGGTAGTTTCTCTGCTGTTAATAGAGCCACTTTCTTTTTATAAAAGATCCATAAGGAATATGTCAGCATCTTGTGATCTCAAAGTAGAAAACGTTTAGATGGAGAATGTTTGGCTTTGCGTAGCAAATTCAGAAGTCATTCTTTCCAGCATGGATAATATGAACTGGGAGAGAAAGGCAAGAGACTTCTCAGACTGAAAATAATCAGGAGGGAAAGAGGATAACAAAAATGATCTGAGAAAGCAGGTCGCATGTATGCAGAACAAAGATAGTGCTTACTGTTTGATCAGTGAAGACCTTTAGTGCCACAGAAGGCATTCAGTTAGGTCTGAGCAGAAATTTTGATCTGGCTTATTTCAGAAGAAGATTGCATACTTTGATCACGAGTAATTTGTGTGTTGAATGTATGGAATTTCCTCCCTTGTGAAACTGAATACATCTTTGAAAGTCAAACACCTACATTGCCCCCTTCTCTCCCCTGGAAAACAAAACAAAACCCACCAACTCGTTGTTGCAGAGCTTAATTTAAATAAAATTAAGCCCTTCTTGATCCAAAATCTCTTAAATACAACATTATGCTTCATGTATAATGAGAGAACAATTTTTCCTTTTGTTCTTTTGTTTTTATTCAGAAAATGTTATTAATTTGTTTATTTTCCCAGAGTAAATTGAATTTCTCCTTAGCATCTCATTTTGGACAATTAAATAGTGGGAATAATTATTCATACATTTATGGTAGTAACCTTCCTTGTCTGGGTTTTTTTTTTTTTTTTTAAATGCGAGCATAAAAGATTGCTCTAGACTTTTTAGGCAAAATTATGCTTGCAGGACAGCTGGCAGTAATTTGCTTAAGCAGAGCCTGTCCTCCACTTTTTGCAACTCTTGAGTGCATTGCAGTCGTGTTCTACTACAGGGGCGATTAGGCTAATAGGATTGCTGGTCATCATTATGAAGTCATTAGCAGTTAATTTGGCCCCTAATATTTTTTTGATTGCTTCTTGCATAGGAGTCCTTTGAGAGTAACTCCTTGGTCTCAGTTACAATTTACCTATTTTGTATTTTATATGAAATCCATGTTAAACAATAAACTTAGAACAGGATACTTGGGTCCGAAGTTGATGATTTGCTCCAAACAAGAAGCAGAATCAGTACTTTTTAATTTGAATTGTTTGGTTTATTATAATCCCCATGCATGTAACCGGCTCAATACTGAAATATCAATTAGATTTTAAAAGAGCAGTTGGACCGTTGTCTCATCTGCAATGCTATGAAGTTATTTACTGATGTATATAAAAAATGACCGTGTAACATCTATCATCATCTATCTCTACAGTCTCAATATTCCTGTCAGCTGTTATTAATTGGATTCCTTGCTGAGCTTTCAACTGAGATGTTCACACCATATGGTGTTTTACTTTACTGAACGAAGGATCAATGTGTGTAGTATGGTAATGAGCGTGATGCATGAACGTGTAAGTCTTCTACCATCTTTCCCATCTAGAAGTTTTTCTTCTAGTTTAAATATCCAAAGTTTGATGATGAATATTCTGTTGGCTTAGACAAATCAAATGATTGAGCTGTATCGTAGTTAATTCTAAAAAGGCACAAAGTTCTGGTTTCCTTGACATGATAGAAGCAAATGTTGACAATTCCTCAACGTGCACTCGATGAGCTCTTTGCTCAAGGGATCTATCTCTGCTTGCTCCCTAATTCTCATTAACAATTATCCTACTAA